ATTTCAAAGCCTAAATTCAACTCGGCATCTTTACAGTTTTATTTCTATTTCCATGTAGCATTCTCTATGAATTTGCTTCCCCATTCCCCAGGGCTTACAGACTCTACCATCTCTAACTGCAAAGGTGCTTATTCACTCAGATAAGCCTACGCACTGCATCTCCAATTTTTTTGTTTTTTTTTTTTTTTTTAAGAGCATAGAAACCTCTTAATTCTTTTACTTTTAATAACCTCCAGGCTTTTTTCCCCATTCAAAATCTTCAGACTCTAGGCTCCACAGTTTACCTTGTTTCATTAAAATGGTCCTATTTGTTTGTTCTCTTTGAAACCCAAAAGTGTACTTACAGGACCAAAGAACCATTTATCCTTCTATTTCATCTGAATCTGCTTATGAATACTCAACATTATTTTTGAGACCCACATCTCTAATAATGCCCTCATCACTTCACAAAACTGGTATCCAGACTTTCTGCTTCAGCAACTATTTGATAAAGAAACCTTTCATGCAGAACACACAGGAATGTTTGGGCCTTGCTCATGTTAGTAGAACTTTAATTTCCCAGCTATAAACTAGAGAATAAGTCTCTACAACGACACAGTTCACAGCAGTAGTTCTCTGTAACAAATTACACATCTAAATCCAAACCCAAGGATTTAAATTCCTAGATTACCTCAGCAGAATTAATTTACTAGCCTTCTCTTCCCCGGAAATATTTTATTCCGAAGAAATTATTTTCAATCTGTGTTGTCCTTTCTTCTTTGCTTCCTTCTTATCATTTAATTACTATTTGGGGCTATTCCACCATTTAGCTTTCATTTTTATTATTCCTGAATAGTCATATGCTCTTACACCTGAATTCCAAACATATCTGCCATCCCACCATATTTCTACTCACTCTAAATTCAGTTTCACATCCATAACCAACACTTCACACTCCTCTTTCATGGTGTCTGTTGCCTAGCATTATGCACAAATATTTCAATTTTTCCTACTGACCACAGCAACTCCCCCATTTGCAGGATCTCAGCTCCTACCAACTGCCTGGCTTTGGAGACCTTTGGCCTGAGTCAGCCTCACATTAGGCACACCTGTGTTCAGAGGTGGACTTGGACCCTAGCTCCTTGGCAGAGCAGTGTCTCTCCTGGTCAGCTGCATCACTCACACACACACTCTTCACAACCAACTACAACCAACCTGCTGAAAAAAAAAAAAAAACCCACACAACAACAACAACCACCCACAAAAAAATTCACCAATCTGCTGTGAATACTTATCAGAACCAAAACCCACAGTCTCCCTTATCTGCTATTCCTGTCACCAGTTTGGCATGCAAAGCCTTAAGCCTTGATTCCCAATTCTTGGTTGCAGCCAAGGGTGTGCCAACCAGCCTGCCCCTGTCCTTCGCCCATGCACTGTCACAAACAAGACGCATAAATTCCCAACCAACAAGTATTCCTATCTTCTCAGGGCAGGACCCATTAGACACCCTTATTTGCTAACTGTATTAGTAAGCGCTAAGTAAAAAACTTTTGTCCTGAATGAGACACACCCCAAATGAGACATATCAGTAATTCAGTCTGCAGTCACTGAGCAACAAAGCATCATGCCAAAAACTTCGCAAAACCATGCAATACCGTGCGTGGCTTTGAACAATACTTTGCAATACGTTGTGGAGAATATGCGGTCTAGTTTATATCCAACATCACTTACAAGGTAACTATTTTGACCAACTGTTGTCACCTGCATTTCTTACGCAGACCTAAACCACCACAGAATTTAAAAGAGAAGTTGCACTGTTAGAAGGTTTTGTAGTCTCAGGGTAAACAAGGACCAGATATGCTTCATCTATCAGAAGAGTCCTGAATATTGAAGGCCAGGGATATTGATTGCAGCATTTAAGGTTCCTAACTTAAAATCTGAGACACCGAACCAACCGTCAATGGGTTAAATGCCCACACCTCTGGCATAAAGTTGCCCCATCCCTGGATGTCTTCAAGGCCAGGCTGGATGTGGCTTTGAGCAACCTGGTCTAGTGGAAGGTGTCCCTGCCCACGGCAGGGGGGTTGGAACTAGCTGATCTTTAAGGTCCCTTCCAACCCAAACCATTCTATGATTCTATGATAAAGTTAAAGCACTTTCATAATAAGTAAAAGAAGTGTTACCACATACATCTTCAGTTTTCACCAATATCTGAATTATATTACCTAAAGGTTTTAAAAAAAAAAAAAAATAATCAACTGAATAGCTTGTGCCTAGTATGCTTCATCCATAGAGAATATAATTCCTTTATGTAAAATTCTGTTAGCACAGCAGTATCACATCCCAACCCTCACCCTCTCAAATTCACAGATGATGTTTTTGGGCGTCCTACAACTTCAAATGTGGTAATGCAGCTATTTTCTCCTTTTTTTTTAATTATGCTTTTTCCACATATACAAGTGTTTTTATGTGCACAAAAAAAAATATATCCATTCCACATTTTCAACTGTCTTACCAGGAGCAGTACTTAGTTACTCCATAAAAGAACATTCACAAACACTGTTTTCTTTTAGTCCAAAAATCACATCAAGCAAGCTGTCAAACAAGTCTTAATAGATTTTTTTTTTTCTTCTTTACATTAGGGTATGTCACCCAGATCTGGCTAGATCTCTAGTAAAAAGAATGTGCAGAATTAGAACATTATTTGAAAGTACCTGAAAAGGCACCGAATCTGCTGTTAGTTTTGTTAAACCTAAGAACTTGTGGCTAAACATCACAGTCACATACATGGCACTTCACATCCAACAACTAATTCTTTTGTTTCTGTAGAAGGAGGTTATACAGAAGCTACACTGATAACACCATACCTACTTCAAAACCAGCATGGCTGTAGAATGACTGCAAACTTCCTTAATTTACTAGCCACAGAGCTGAGTCACAGGACTTGTCTTTGCTAGAAAATAAACATTATGCCTACAACAGTGACACAGAACCAAGACTGCTAATCCTTTCAGGTGTTAGAGGCAGTTCCATCTCAGTGAGACCATGTGGAAGTCTACATAGCCTGATTTACTTGGAAAAGCTCAAACTAGTAGGAGGTCATTAGTGTACTCGGCCTCCCCTGCTGCCTCTACCCCAGGCAGCTCACCTACTGAAGGGTCCCTCCCTCCACGCTGCAGAGCCCTTAGCTAGTGCAAGGGCATCGCCTGTGAAGAAGCCTGGTTAGTTAGAGAAATCAGAAGTCACACTTGTGGTAAGATCAGGTCACTTGTACTTTTAGGTGTAAACTCCAGGCTCTCCCACTGCCTTCAGCTAACATTACTAATGTCTATAAAGCTACATAGTGCTTTGTCTTCTGAAGACTTTTTCATCAGCTTAAGGAAGCACCTATATTCAAATATATATCATCATGATATATATCATCATCATCAAATACTACTATTGTCTGCAGACACAGACACATCCATACAAATGTTACTTTTGCATATTTTTCTATGGTTTCATTCTCATTTTCCCCTTACTTCTCCATTTATAGAAATAAAAGTTTATGGACAACTGCTAAAAGAAATAAAAACACACTTTGCCTAAAGTTTATAGCCAGGCATAGTGCTAAATGGATCATGCTGCAGCCACTATCATCTCTAATGGGAAGTTGAATCCTACACTACCACAAGCCACAGAATATAAGGTTCTACCCTGAGCTCAGAAACTTGGAAAAAGGCTAAACCTGTAGTCCCTTTAAGGGTCTAGAAACTACACATCTTTACTCCTGACATGTGTTGAGCAACTTTTCCCAAAGAAACAAAGGACCAGATTCTACAGAGTGTTTGAGGGTTCTCTGTAACACAATATAAAAGAGGTGTATTCAAATCCAGCCCTTTCACTCCTCACTTTGCTATCCCAAGCTTTAGCAGGTTCTGTGGCTAGTAGAAAATGTGGCTGACAGCAACATCAGTAATATAGCACCCTTGGAGTGTTTGAAGTGTAAAGTTCATTAGTTCTACTATAAGGTCACTCTTTTAATCCAACAGCAAAAATCTTATTCGCACTACCATGTTGTTATCCTGGAAAAAAGAAAACTGCAAAAAAATCAAGACGTCAGCTTAGATACTTCTTACAAGTGACAAGATCAGCACTAAAAATCCAAATCACAGTCAATACCTTTTAGCAAGTTTCAGGAAAGCAGCAAAACTATTCTTGATTGTGCTGTAAACCAAATGAAATGTAATAGAACGGATAAAGGAAATGAAGGAAGGAGAAGACAAACATTTCAATACCTGATAATTGTGTTTTATAATTATTAGTTGAACTTGGCTTACAAACAGAATTTACTGGGGTGTCTGTTGGGAATTACAAGACGTGCAAACAAGTGAATTTTAATTTCTTTTGTGTTTGTTTACTGATTTTTGCACATACAGTTTAAATTTTAATAAATTCTATTTTGCTTTACCCTCCATGGACATTTGTAGACTTATTAAAAGGTTATGTCAACAAATATTTTAGAACACAAGGATTGTGTTCTAACAATTCTGAATCGTATTTTTAAAATAAGAGGCAACAGCTCTGTAACTTATTGGCTTGATTGATACTGCCCAAACTCATACATGTTTACTTACGTGCACTGTAAGACATTTTTACAATTAAATGGGACACAGCCTTAAGATAAGTCCATTAGCATGTACAGATGAGGATGACATTGTCTTTTTTAGGAAATAATCTCTAAAGACCCAAGACTTACTGGTAATGTTAGAAATAAGTAGCTCTTCTTCATCCCAAATACTTGTGCTCTTAAGGGTGAGAATTTTCAGTCTCGTTTGTTCAGGAGAATAGGCACAGCATTTCTTTCCAGTGCTAAATTAGCAATTGCCTCAAAATGAGCTCCCAAATTAAGACCCTTACCTACAAGACTCAAGAGTTATCATTTACATCCCCCAATTTACCCTTTTATATTCATACAGTTACACCACTCTCACACAAATATTGTATTTCAACAAACATTAAATGGTTTTTATTTTACTCACCTGCACACTAAGATGAATCCATTTCTTCACAAGAATTCTCCCCAGTGTCATTACTTTTATTGGTGGCTGCAAACCATTTACTGTGCGATAATAAAACATGGTCTCTTTCTCAGAGATTGTGAGTTTGAACACAGTCTGCCCATCAATAGCCTTTTCTATCACACACCTTTGGAAATAACCAAGAAAAACAACATAAGGTCAGAGGCACACACATATACACATTCTTGTCAAGGTGCTATCCTGTAAAGTGATGCTAACCAAGATGTATTAAAATAAACGTTAAAAATACAGCTCTTGAGAAGACGCTCCGTGACAGTGAAAGTCACAGGATGTACCAAGTGTAAGAGAACTTTAACAAAGCTATTTTCTGTCTTAATCTGTGAGATGGTTGCGATTTTTCTTTTTTAATTTAGTGCATTCAACCCCAGTTCACTTGGGGGTGGAAGAGGTCCACTTTGTCTCCTCTTTTCAGGGATCCATGACATAGCCACAGTGGCTGGCCAGCACTGTGCAGGTCTCTGCTGCACATTTCATACAAAGCTGTGCAAAGTAATACCTCCTGTGGAGACACATTTTTCTCAGTCTAACAAGACAAAGGTAATACAACCACAAAAAGCAGAATGAATGACATGTTCTGGAAATATAAGCTTTCCATCTTTCCACCAAATCTGTCCAGATAAGGTAGCAGCAACACCTGCTTCCCCCACTCTCTCCCTTTGATGCCTAGGAGAACCAGAGCAAGGCAAGAAGGCTACCCAGCCACTTGTAAGGGTTTTTTCCCCACACAGATTTCACATCAATATCAAATGCAACTCCAACATACATGGTACAAAGAATACCATCCATAGCAACCCATGTTGCACATCTAGCTGCTGAATATTTTTGCCAATCCAATCGCCATGATGTCAAGGGTCCTGGGAAAGCATAGGCTATATAGGCTTGTGAAATGGCTATGCCTTTTTATTAAGGTAATGATCACTGCAACAAAAATTATAAAGTTCTGCATTCCCATTTCAGCTGCTTGAGAAATCCAGTCCTCAATTTACTGACCCATGAAAAGTCAAGTATTTTAACAGTTACACCAGACTAAATTAATGCACTAAGTCACAAGAGAGAAGCAGATAAAATTTGTATGAGATCAGGATTTACTTAGACCCACTTTAGAAAAAAAAAAAAAAAAGGAAAAAAACCCCAACTTATCTACTGATAAGGATCTTTGCCTACTCTGCATTCACAAAAGGCTGTTCTTTGCCATTATTCACTAATTCACCTTTAAATCCAAGAGAAAAATTAATTCATTTTAAATGTTACCAATTTAGCTTGCTGGAATACTGTCAACAAAACAACTTGCAAAATGCAGACTTCTGCTTTCCAAACCTTACTGAAAACATGTTTCTTCTTATATTGTCGACAGGTCTTTTCATTATTTTGTTTGCTTGTAAACATGCTAGTTTTACTAGATAATAAACGTGAGGGAAGGCTCAGCTAAGTAGCAAAATATTTAGGAACTGGATTTACCCAGTTCCTGGATAAACAATAATTGGATAATCCATTTTTTTGTTTATTTTAGTTATCTAAAACAAACATCCCCACACTGTTTTTATCCCCAAAGGTGTCATGACTTTAAGAAGGGAAGCGACCTTGATGTACATCACTTTGAAAGCTGGAAAGAACAGATGTGAATTGTGACTCACTACTGAAAGAGTAAAATCAAGAGCCAGATAACACCAGAGGGGGGGATTGAAAAAAAAAAAAACCACCACCAAAAAACACACACACAAACACCAGAAACCCACAACACTAGTGTTTACATAGGTGCAAAATAGGCATAAGAATTACTTCTAACTCCGAGCACAATTTTCCATTCCAGCCATGATTACAGAGACAAAACACTGCTCTTTGTCAAGTTCCCAACTTCTGGTAACCTGCAGTCCCACAGAGCCAAATCCTGACTACACAATTCTCTATGGTGGGGTTGGAGGGAGCAAAAGCAAACAACAGTAATCTGCTTGGTCAGTCTTCCAAGAGAAAAACATTCTAGAGAACCTGACACAGCTGCACTGGTGGTCCCCACACATTAACTGGAGCACTTGCAAATGGGAACATCTGCACAGGTTCAAAATCAGACATATGATATCTGAAGGCAACTGCCCCCTTTCAGTCAAATTCCTGATGAAAAACATTTGAATGGATATTAGGTAACACAGTAAGATTTTAGTCCTTTAGAGAAATAAAGTTTAAAAAAAATGCATCTACTGCCCACTTCCCAGTCAGGCCGTTCTCGCTGACCCTTTTGCATGTAAAAGCCCCAGCGCATTTCTCTCCCAACACCACTGTCTTCTGGTCACCTAACTGTCAGTCAGCCCACTTCACACTGAACTGATATAAACTGCCTGTGATGATTACTCATACAGGCTAAGCTTCTACTCATATTCTTATCCCATTCCATCACAAAGGGCTATCATCATATACACTTTCCCACATTGTGCTAAGGCTTACTTACAGGCTACGCAAAGGCTTTCTGAAAGCATTTCTATTAAGTGATGAGTACATGCAATAGGAGAGGAAGCATGGGGAAATAACGAAATTCAGGGACAAGAGCTCTGCTCATTTATTGTACTTACTGCCTAGAGGGAAAGTAAATTTAAAGACTGGAGTACAGTGTTTTCTCACTGTTCTCTTGCTTTTCTTCAAGATTTCCTATACGCAGTGACGTAAAAGCATACCTACAAATATCTATACTACACATCTTAGAACAACATTAAGGCCCCAAGTAAATCTGTCACATGACCTGACTATCCTCTCTCTTTGTATAAAAGTATATTCCTTCCCACATTCACTTGAGAAAACTTGGTATATGAAATTAAGGAAGAAAATTCTTGGTGTCTTTGATTACCCACATATATTTGTTCCCCGAGAATGTCATAATCCTTAAAGGGCCTTCAGAGTTTGGACCCTTGCATCAGTGTCTCTCACTTCAGCCAGCACAGTAACTTCTAATAGAAAAATCCTGCTATTCTCTTACATGTGCACATACCTAACAGAGAAATGTCATAGTCTTTACAAGGTTACAGTGGGATACTACACAGCAACACTCCCATCTACTTTGCTAAGCGCTCTCTATCAGCCAGACCCTATAAGAATCAGCATGGAAGAAACACATTAGTATGGCACGCCCAAAACCCACAGCTCTGCTGTACAAGCAACTTCATCAGTAAACAAAATACCTTGTTAAAATTCCAGTTATTCTACTGGTAAAATGAGCAGCTGGTTCTGGCTCATCTTCCTCGTGTTTTGGTGGCAGCGCAAAGACTTTGTTAGAATCAATCCCAGCTCCGTGAAGTCCCTCTGCTGTGATAATGGGGTTTAAAAGGTCTCACAAATGACATTTAACAAGGACAATTCCCCATCAGGGACTGCAAAATATAGGGCATCTGGTAAGTCAAACTCCTCCTGCAAACCTGAAGGACTCACTAAACCAATACAATAAAAGGAAAAACATCTTAGTTTGCTGTTAAACTATTTCTCTTTCCTAGGATGCCTTCTGAGTTGAGATGCAGTGGCTATTTATGTGCAATTGCTCGTTCAGCACAACTGGAACTCTGTATTCCTTTTATGAAGAAAAAAAGTTGACACAGTTCTCTCTGTGAACAGTGAAAAAATTGTCTGGATAGTGGCCTATCATCCTGACCACTGGAGTAACTGATGTCCAACTTCAATTTTCAGGACTGGGCTCTACTGTTGGCATTTCAATGTACTGAGTAGCAGCAATCTCGTAAGGCAGAAGAATTAGGTGATCTATTACAAAAAAATGAATAAAAACATTTAGATTTTAAAGTGATCTATAAAAGCCACTGAACAGGAATATGTACACTGTGTAGTTATTAACACAGTAGCAATTGGAGGCTAATGCTTTACACTAGTCCATGGATAATCAGACATCAGTAGTCTGGTTTCTGCACAGCACTTAATCGTTTGAAACCAAGGACATATATTTCATTGTTTCAGGCTCCATACAAGGAACAGCCTAACCCATTGACAAAAGCGTTTCATGGATCTCGCTCAACACATGGCTGCAACAGCTTGCTGAGAAATTAGCAGGACATTTCTGCCTCAAGTTAGGCATATGCTCTGCTGAACAAGACTCTTACATGCCCTCGTGTGTGTGGGGACATGAACTCAATGTCTAGGAAAACCCCAGGAGGAGACTTTCTGGCATTCAAGAGTCAAACATTATATAGAAAATGCTTTCTAGGAAAGACACTGGGCCAAAGCTCCAGAGACACCTTTCCACACACCTTCAGCTGAGCTGATTTAACTTAAGCTCAAACTAAAGTCACTTTTGTCCTGCAGATCTCATTTATTTCCTCTCCACAACCACAATTTCTATAGTTAAGTTGATTTTTTTTTTTAAAGGTAATTATCTTTGCATAAAGCAGACTGAAATTTTACATGTATCTTTACAAATTTGTAGACATTTCTGTCATTTGTGATGATTTTCACACCCTTCAACAATTTACTATTTCCCAGCAGCATGCAAAAAAAGTATCAAGAATGCTACAACAGAGTAGATCGCTATTTTCATTCTAAGAATGAGTACAATAACATTGGTAACATACACTTTGAAGGAACGTACTATACTTTTTGTGGGCTTCACTTTAAAGAGGGTCTGCGCAACCAGGGTAAGAAAGAGTAGGAGGCTCTGCTTTTTGTGATAGATTTCCAAAAAGTCAGTTTTTCATTATAGTGAGGCACAGACAAGCTGAATGGCCACTTATAACAGCCATATTTGCTAAAACTGTGACACATGATCAAATAAGAGAGGGAACATGCTTAGCCACATCTATTTTGTGAACACCTCGTGAAACTTCACTAGCAGTTTGAATAGTGGAATCTTTTGTTAAAGTAACAACACGATCACGCATCCAGTGAACATTCCCCAGATCTTCCAGAAAAAACTATGACCACTCTTCTACAGCTCCAAAATATTCATTTTCGAAGATCTGGCTGTTTTCCTTGTTTGTTTTTAAGGAGTAAACTTATGTTGGAGGATTCCGAAAATTTTAGAACATTTTTTTCCATCATGAAAGCAGCAACAGTACAAACCCCTGACAACGTGTTTTTCTAGCAGCTTTTAGAAGAAGGAATGTGAATTAGAAATACAAATTTAATCTAAGAATAGACACACGCATCAGGTGTGAATAGTTCCTACTGAAAGCAATTGGACTATCATCTGAGTCAACGCCACTGAAACTGAACCTACGTGTCTCGACATCTGCGAAGACCCCAACCTAAATACGGCTTCAGAGCGTCAGTTTCTCACTGTACCTTTTTAAAATTTTAAATAGCTTGCTAATAATGACCGTGACTACAACGATCAATTTTTCTAAGAGCACCAGGAAAGTAAACACCTTCAATACTACTTACATTACACCTTCTTGCTCAGGTTTCAACCATACAGTTAACGTAAATGAAGCTGCAAGCCTTGGGGAACGGGGAGTAGAGAAGCAATCCTTGTGATTATGAAAAATAAAACTGGAAGCGTTGCTGAAGGACCCTGGATACAAGTCCCTTTTGTCCTCTGTGATACAGGTACCAAGGCCTTCTGAAAGAAGCAGTTTGTAGGAAGAAGGCGACGACCTATATGGACATTCCTGAACACAAAACCTCTGGATGCAGGACATAATACTTTCAACAGCTGTTGAGCTATGACAGAAAGAACTTCGGTCTGGCAGCCCACAAGTGGCTTCAGTTGGCACGATTGACACGTTCTTGAAAGCTCCCACATTTTCAAGCCTAGGGAAATGACCCTGAGAGCTGACCAACACAAAGAAGCTGTAATAAGTTAAGATTAATGTTTCAATAGCATGAAACAAGAAACGACACCTCAAGGAAAGAGCCCAGCAATTCATGTTTACAAAAAAGCTCCTCCTGATTAAAGCATCCGTAAATAAATAATGATGTCCATGTCGGTAGCAATGTCCTCAGGTGGTACGCTTTAAGAGTTTACGTAGCGTTTCATCTTCAAAGCACACACGCAAGGACTGGGTCGCAGGGGACATCTATGTCTTCTGGCCACCAAAAAGCACGTGGGCGACAGCC